TATTCTTCAGCAGTATACCTCTGCTCTGGCCTTGTCATTTGCAGTTCAAGAAGGCTAAAGTAACCCCAATACACACACACCTATTTCAAATGTGGCACAGAATGTCAGGAAAAATATGTGTTACGGAGGTGAATTTTGCTGGCAGAGAGGAAAACACTCCGAAATAATAGAGGGTTTACATCAAGATAAATAAGATGCCACCTTCCCCCACCCTGTGGATGCCTGCCAAGGGGGCACTGGAAGCAAAATGTTTGTGAATCGCCTTTCATTCATTCATCCATTCTCCGCAGCATGCCCTAGGATCGCTGGACGACCCTCGGATGTCCCTGCTCAGGACGCGTGCGGGTCAGAGCCCTGCCCCTCCCGTGCAGGTGAACACGGCCCACGCGGGTTCGGTCCCGCGGGACCGCCGCCACCGGGCCGTGCCCTGCCCCGCCGTGGGGAGCTCGGGGGGCGGCGGGGAGCGCGCAGAGCCGCGCCCGGCGGGCACACCGGCCCGCGGAGCGCCCACCGCCCGGCTCCGCGCTCCCCGGGGCTGCGCAGCGCGGCGGAGCCACCGCTGGGGCCACGGCGTGGAACTGACGCGCGTGTTAATGAACTGGAGCTCGCCGGGCCGGGGCGGCTGCGGGGCGGGGACAGGGGGTACGGGGTGGCCGCAGCAGCTGCGCCGCGCCAGGGCAGGGAAGCGCTCCGCGCCGGCGAGGGCACGCAGGAACACGCTCACGGGAGGGGAGCTCCCAAAAGCTCAGACGGAGTAGGCTGCAAAACGTTTCCCACAGCCTACGGAGCTGGGGGTGTGGAAAAGACCAGCGGCAAGGGCTGCAGTTAACGGAGCCTGTGCGCTGGTAATCCTCGGTTTAGTGTCCTTAAGACGTTTTAACCGGTGGGGACTGCGTGCTTATTCACTGAGAGCACCTGCAATCAATCACAGAATCACAGATTCAAAGAACGGTTTGGATCGAAGGGGATCTTAAAGATCACCCAGTTCCAACCCTCCGGCCATGGGCAGGGGTACGTCCCACTAGATCGTGTTGCTCAGGGCCCCATCCAATCCCGTCTTGAACACTTCCAGGGATAGGAATGCTGGAATCAATACTTGCGGCACCCAGTCCTGCAATAGATTTGTCCAGAGTATTGTTCCTGAACAATCTCTCTTGCTCCATGCACAAGGCGAGCTGCAGGACCCGGTGTGTGAGAAGGGTGCTGTCACTGCCACTGCCCTTAACCCCCGCATCAGGATTTGGAATCACTCGCATGCTGTTCCGGCGGCGTACAGCTGACTGTGTGAGCACTGCCGTTCTTTGATGCAAACCCACCGAATTTCAGTCAGAAAGTTGCAGTCAGATATGTTGCTCCATAAAACCACAGGGGGAAAAAAAATAATTAAAAAAATAATAACCGCGAGTTCGCTAGCTCTGCGTTTTCCCACGTCTGGCAGAAGAGGCTCAGCGCTGCCACCTCGCGTCCCGTGCCGCATCCCCGGCCTCATGGAGCCTGCAGGAAACAGAATGGAGTTTCAAGGCTTTTTAAGTTGTAAAACGCGGAGAAGTCTTGCCAATACTCTTAAAACTTCATTTTTAGATGGAAGCTGAATGCTCGCGCTTTATGCCTAGGCTTAAAAATTTGGGGAGCTGGAAAGTACTTTCAGTCTGCCACTGGAGGATTAGGGGTGGAAGCAATTAACTTTGAGGAAACAGCTAAGAAATTGTAATAAAATGCTTTTTATAGAGTTTCACATCGTGTTCTTACACTTGCTTTATTAAGTAGCCCTAAATTTCACTTTTGCGGAGTTTTTGTTCAGGAAATAATGTCTTCTGTCCATCCCATACACTTTTTGAACCAGTATTAAATCAATGTGGCTGCTTTGATCAGGAAGACACTTAACTCTTCACCTGAGATTAATTTTATTCATGATGGTCAAGACCTTGCAGAACTTAACACAAACAAGTCAAAAGCTTCTTAAGCCTTTTCTTTCTATGTTTGCTTATCAGTTGGGGTTTGTTTGTTTGGCTTCAATTTGTGTCTGGAAACATGGGAATATTCTCCTTGCTTTGTAGTTTAAACAAATTGATATTTATATGTAAAATACAACAGTTGGGGGTTGAAATCCTGCTGGATACTGTGCTGACAGGTGGAGCAGCCAGAAGCTACTGACTGCTCCCAGTCCCAGTTTTTCACGCTGCTGCACATGAATACCAAGAGTGTAAGCAAAAGCCAGTGCTTTTTCCTGACACCAAACCCACTGTGAGACTCCATTTCTGTAGATGTTGGTGGTATAGGGTAGAACACGTTTGATCTTAGCTTTGGGGCTGCGGGGGAAAAACACCGTGTGATTTACTACTTACAAAGCGTAAAGGTGAGAAACTCCACTGATGTCACTGGATGTCATCAACCTAGAGGAAAGCAGTATTTTATCCAGTCTTGACCAGAGGCTGTATGAGGAACCAATGTATTATTTTTGCAAGCAAAGCTATAATTTAATTTGTATTTTTGTAAACAGTCTCAGTAATGTAGGTGGCCTACCCAGAGAAGTACTGAGAACTCAGGATTTTTCTCAGCACTTCACAGCCATGTTGAGTCCAGTGTGAGATCTTAATATTCAAAGCCTGTCCTCAATTCAGCTAGAAACTCTACTAAAGGATAAATTTTCTTGCAAACATATGCAATTTATTTTTAGACTTCTATCTTAAGATATTTTAGCCATATCCAACCCTTATTTTGCTTCTGCTTTAAAAGGTGTTTTTAACCAGTGTGTAGAACAAAAAATTTCACAGCTGTTTTGCCTAATGGGTTGTCTCTGGCCTGATGAGTGATGTGAGGAATCTTTGGGAAGTAACACTGCCATTGTTTTTATGGTCTTACTGCCCCCTTTACCTGAATATTGGAAGGGGGGTTGATGCCATGAGGCCTGCAGGGGTGCTGCACAGCGCCTGACCTCGCTGCCCTGCTTCTCTTCATTACTGATCACGGCAGGGCAGAGGGAGGGGCGCATCAGATCAAACAGCAATATCCGAGGAGCACCTTACACCCTCGGAAGAACCGCGGAGATGGAGGGGGGAGCCTGCTCGGCGGGGCGGACTGGCAGAAGCACGGCAGCACCTTCCCACAGGGCCGGTACCTCCCTGCCGGCTGCGCGCCGCTTCTTCCTTCCGCAGCCCCTCCCGCTCTCCGGGGACCCGCAGGGGACGGGCCGGGACCCCCGCGTGGCAGCCTCTCCCCGCGATCAGGCGTCTCGGTGGGACCGCGGCATGCGGGAGCGGCGGGTAGCGAAACGCAGGAGAGGGGTCGGAGGGTGAAAGCGCGATAAGGGCAACACCTCTTCCTCGCTCCGCGCCGGGGAATTCGGGACGGGTGGCCGCGGTTGCTCAGAGCCGTGCCCGGCGAGGGGCCCGGCGCCCCGCGGGACGTGCCCGCCGCCGGTCCCGTCCCACCCCCTGCGCCGCTCCGCTCCAGCTCCGTGGCGGAGGGGGCGTGACGGCAGCGCCTCGCCGGCGCTTCTCCAGGCCTGCCGACCCCTCCGTGACACTCCGCGTGTGGGCGTGGGGACGGGCACGGGGCGCCCTCCGGCATTCCCCGGGCCGCGCTGCCCGCTGGGCGTGCGGCGGCTCCGGGGCGGCAGGAACACCCTCCCGGTCCTTTGTGCGGGCAGGTATCCCCGCTCGCCGCCCGGCAGCCACGGCGCGCGGGGGCGGGACGCCTTGATCCCCCTCTCTCCCTTTCTTTCTCTCTTCTTTTTTTTTTTTTTTTTTTTTTATTTTTTTTTTTTTTTTTTTTTTTTTTTTTTTTTTTTTTTTTTTTTTTTTCTCGGCAGGGAGGAGGGGAGGGAGGAGCGCGGCCGGGGGGCGGGGGGGTCGCGGGCACGTGCGCGGCGAGGCGCGGGGCGGCGCGCGGAGCTGCCCTCCTGCCCCTTTTAAAAAGTTCGCCCCGCCGCCGGGAATGAGGTCAGCGCGGGCGCTTCCCATTGCACGCGGCCATTATTACCGCTCCGCGCCGGCCGCCAATCCCGGGGAGGCGGGCGGGGCTTGGCACGCGGAGGGCGTTGGATACAGCGCGCGATTGGCCGCGGGGCGGGCTGCGAAAGGATAAAGCGGCGCGGGGCGGGCGCGGGGTCCGCTCTCAGCTGCGGCCGGCGGAGCGCGGCGTGCGGGGGGCGCGGGGCAGCGCCCGGCGGGCGAGCGCGGGGGGCGGCGGCGGCTCCGCGGGGCTCCGCGCGCGCGGAGCAGCAGCAGCACCGCCGTCGGCTGAGGAGGAGGAGAACGGAGCTGGGCGCCCGGCTCGCCGCTCTTCCTGCCGGGGACGTACACACTCGTTCATGCACGAGCGCTTTTTTATTTTTCTTTTTTTACGGCGATTTTTTCAATTATTATTATTTTTGCATTCTTATTTATTTGCTTTTTTTTCTTTTTTTTTCCTTTTTTTTTTTTTTTTTTTTTTTTTTTTTTTTTTTTTTTTTTTTTGCCTTTTCCCGAGGGGTTTCCTTGTCGCTCGGTACCTCGCAACTGCCAAATCCAACCTGCACAAACTCCTGGCCGTCGACCCCGCCGCTACCACGGGTCCTGGAGCCGGGATTTTCGGGGCTTCGGGGGCGCGCTGCCTCCCCCCTCCCCTGCGGCGGTGCACGCTGGCCGTGCCCAGCGCTCAGAGACTTTCGGCGGCCGGAGTGCCGCTCTCCTGAAACGCCGCGGGCAGGCGGAACGCGCTTGTGAACTGGACCAGCTGCTTCGGGGAGGGGGGAAACCCGATGTGGTGAGGAAAAAAGCAGACCGACACCCCCCTCCAAAAAAAACCAAAAACCAAACCAAAAAAGCCCAAAACACCCCAAGAAAAAAATTAGCAAACTTGGACGGGCGGCTCGCGGCGCTGCTTTTGCAGAAACTCTAGTCTGACCGCGCGCGGCCCCGCCGCTCCTGCTCCTGCTGCCGCCGCCGCTGCTACCTCGAGGGGAGAGGACCGCGCCGCCGGGGACGAGGCGCCGGTGTGGAAGTACAAGTGGTGCGGGGAGCGGGGGCGCGGCCGCGGGGGGCTGCGCCGTCCCGGTGCCGCTGTGAGAAGTTGCGTGCCCTGCCCCGCGCCGGAGCGGCGCTGAGCCCCGGCGAGCCCCCCGCCGCCGCCGCCGCGATGGTGCAGCAGACCAACACGGCGGAGAACACGGAGGCGCTGCTGGCCGCCGAGACCTCCGACTCTGGGGCCGGCATCGAGCTGGGCATCGCCTCCTCTCCGACGCCGGGTTCCACCGCCTCCACGGGGGGTAAGGCGGATGACCCGAGCTGGTGCAAGACACCCAGCGGGCACATAAAGCGGCCCATGAATGCCTTCATGGTATGGTCACAGATCGAGCGGCGAAAGATCATGGAGCAGTCCCCCGACATGCACAACGCCGAGATCTCCAAGCGCCTGGGCAAGCGCTGGAAGCTGCTCAAGGACAGCGACAAGATCCCCTTCATCCGGGAGGCGGAGCGGCTGCGCCTCAAGCACATGGCGGACTACCCTGACTACAAGTACCGGCCCAGGAAGAAGGTGAAGTCGGGCAACAGCTCCGCCAAGCCCGGCGACAAGGCGGACAAGGGCGGCGGGGGCGGCGCCGGCGGGGGCAGCGCGGGCGGCGGCTCCGGCGGCCCTGCGGCCTCCGCCAAGCCCGCCCCGAAGAAGGGCGGCGGCGGCGGCTCCAAGCCCTCCCCCGCGGGCGGCGGCGCGGCCGCGGGCGGCAAGCCCCACGGCAAAGCGGCGGGGGGCAAGGCCGCCCCGTTCCCCGGGGAGCCGTCGGCCGCGCTGCTGCCGCCCGAGCACCAGGCGCTCTACAAGCCCCGGGGGGCGGCGAGCGCGCCCTCGGGACCCGGCAAGCCGCTCGCCGAGAAGAAGCTGAAGCGGGTCTATATCTTCGGGAGCGGGCAGGCGGCGGCTGCCTCCGCCTCCCCCGGCGGCGCCGTGCCCGGCAGCCCCACGCTGAGCAGCTCGGCGGAGGCCGGCGACCCCTTGAGCCTCTACGAGGAGGGGGGCGGCAGCGCGGGCCGGCCCGACGGGGACTGCGGCGGCGTCGCCTGCCCGTCGCCCTCCGGCTCCGGCTCGCCCTCGGATCACCGCAGCTACACCAGCTTGCGCTCCTCCTCCCCGGCCCCCTCGACGGCGCATTCCTCCTCCGCGTCCTCCCACTCCTCCTCCTCTTCCTCCTCCGGCTCCTCTTCGTCGGACGACGAGTTTGAGGACGACCTCTTGGACCTGAACCCCAGCCCCGGCTTTGAAAGCATGTCCCTGGGCAGCTTCAGCTCCTCGGTGCTCGACCGGGACCTGGATTTTAACTTCGAGCCCGGCTCGGGCTCGCACTTTGAGTTCCCGGACTATTGCACGCCGGAGGTAAGTGAGATGATCTCGGGGGACTGGCTGGAGTCCAGCATTTCCAACCTGGTCTTCACTTACTGAGGCGAGATTCGGCCCCTGCAGGAGGAGGCACCGCCGCGCGTGGCTGTCGGCAGGACTCGCCCACCCCGCCGGGCGCTTTTGTGTCTTTCTCTGTTTTGTTTGGTGTTTGTGTTTTAGGGTTTTTTTTGGTGGGGGGAGGAAGTGTTTTGCTTGTTTCTGAGAAGGGACTGTTGAAAGACTGCTTCTTGAGCTTGGGAAAGGAGCGGGATCGCCCTCTCCTTGCGGAAAAGCCAGCAGTCCCCTTCCTCCGGCTGCAGACGGACCCGCACACACCCCCTTCGGGAGAGGAGCCTGACGGTGCTTTTTGAGAGACTGGCCCGAGGGAGACGCTGTCCTTTTCCCTTTTTTATTTCCTGAAAAGAGAGACAGAGAAAGGGGGAGGAAGGGGAAACCACACACACCTCTGGGTTCTTTGTTATTGCCCATTTTATACGAATAAAGAGGGGGGACGATGCGTTGTGCTGAGCCGCACACTGGGCGTCTTGAGCACTCGCCCTTTCCAATGAATTGAAAGAGCGATCAGAACTGCTTGGGGAAAAAAAAAAAAAAAAAAGAACAGAAAATCCACTCAAATCCTTTGCAAGGTTTACATTTGCGAGGGGAAATCCTGTCCCGGTTTCTTCTGCGGTGAGAAGAGGCAACAATGCTGGGAGGAGGAGGAGGTGGATGGAGCTGGACTGAGATCCTAGTTAAGCGGAGAAGAGCCAGACTTACACTTGAGAGCTGTCTTGGAAGTACGGTGGGGGTAAATAATAATAAACCGAAATGGATTTGCACGTACAGATAAGGTGGCATCAGCGGTTTCCTCAGTCACCTCATGTAATATGTAGAGAGAGAGAGAAATAAGGCTGAAACTTCAAGAACACTGAAAACTTCTTTTGAAACAGAGACCGAATGGAAACAGTTTCTGTCATGACGTGGTACAGGGGAAACTGAGGGCGATGGCTTTTGCAAAAAAAAAAAAGAAAAAAAAAACAAACCCGAAAATACAAAAAAAAAAGTAGTTTTTTTCTTCTTACTCAGAATCGTGATGGTGTTGGATTATTTCACTGGTGGGGTTTAATATAGCATGTTATACTGTCTATCTTTTTCAAGATTCCTGTAAGACTGTTGAACAGTTTAAAAAAAACAAAACTAGTGTTAGGATAATATAAAAGCAGATAGATGGCGCTATGTTTGATTCCTACAAAAATATCACCAGCTTTTTTTCATTCTTAACTCTTTAAAGGATTCAAACGCAACTCAAATCTGTGCTGGACTTTAAAAAAAAAATGAAAATTCAGGACCAAATTTTTTCTCAGAGTATGTATGTGTTTGTTCCTTATAGCTGTAAATGAAAAGACTGTTTTTTCTCACCGATGCTTCATCCTCGTATTGTTTTTTTTTTTTCCTTGTAAATGTAATCGGATGCCATTTTATAAGTGGACGTATTTATACTGGCCAAACATTTTTGACTTTGTATTTCTTTGTCCTTTTTTGGTAGTTCTCGTTGTTACCCGCACCATTTTTATGTCTCCTTCACTGAAGGGCTAGAGTTTTAACTTTTAATTTTTTATATTTAAATGTAGACTTTTGACACTTTTAAAAACAAAAAGAGAAGAGAGATGAAAACGTTTGATTATTTTCTCAGTGTATTTTTGTAAAAAATATATAAAGGGGGTGTAAATCGGTGTAAATCGCTGTTTGGATTTCCTGATTTTAACAACAGGGCCGCTGGTTAGTATCTCACACGCGTGTGCGCGCTCACTCACACTCTCACACACCCACGAATCAGCCCCTATTTTGTCCATGTTTACACTCCAATCTGCAGGCATCTTAAAGTGACAGCATCCCTCACCGCCCCCTCGCTGCCCGCTCCGCAGCCCCCGCCTCTCTGCGGAGGGGCGGATGGGGGCCCGGGGGAAGGGATTTACACTGTATGCTACCGTTTTGGGGAGCCACCTGCCCCCGGATGAAGTGAAGCAACTGGTGCATTTACACAGAAGGGATCCTGTACCTTTAATTTGTAAACCACATCTTTTGCACTTTTTTTCTAAGCAAAAACGTGCCGTTTAAACCACTGGATCTATCGAAATGCCGGTTTGAGTTCGCGACACTATGTACTGCGTTTTTCATTCTTGTATTTGACTATTTAATCCTTTCTATTTGTCGCTAAATATAATTGTTTTAGTCTCTTATGGCATGATGATAGCATATGTATTCAGGTTTATAGCTGTTGTGTTTAAGATGAAGAAAGTGAAAACATCTTTGTACATTTAAGTCTGTATTATAATAAGCAAAAAAGAAGATTGTGTGTTTATGTATGTTAATATAACATGACAGGCACTAGGACGTCTGCCTAATGAGGTGGTTCCGTTAAGGGTTTAACTTTTTTGTTCTTTTTTTTTTTGTTCTTTTTTTTGGTCATCC